CTTTTTGTGCGATCTTCGGATACTTGTTTTATTGCCATTTTGGTATATGTTGATGATATCATCGTTGCATCTAATAATTCTCATGAAGTGCAGATTTTAACTGATCAGCTTCACAACAAATTTCATTTAAAAAATCTCGGTTCCTTGAGATATTTTCTTGGCCTTGAAGTGGCCCGTTCTACCAAAGGTATATCCCTCTGTCAACACCATTGTGCATCGGAGATCCTTAAGGATACTAAACTTTCAGGTTGCAAACTGAGAAGCACTCCCTTTAAGGTTGGTATTAAGCTTTTTGCATCTGAGGGAGACCTTCTTCCTGATCCCTCTTTATACCGTAGATTGATTGGCCGTTTATTATATTTGACTATCACAAAGCCTGACATCAGTTACACAGTCAATTTTCTCAGCCAATTTATGGCCTCTCCACGTGTTCCACATCTTCAAGCTGCTCACAAGTTACTTGGTCTTATTAAGCACACTGTTGGTCAGGGGACTTTTTTTCTTCTTCTTCTTCTATTCAACTTAATGTCTTCTGTGATTCTGATTGGGCTGCCTGCATTGATAGCCGTCGCTCTATTTCTGGTTTTTGTGTCTTCATTGGAGACACCATCATTTCTTGGAAATCCAAGAAATAGAATATTGTGTCAAGGTCATCCACCGAAGCAGGTCGATGGCTCTTACCACCTATGAATTACTATGGTTGTTGTCCTTATTGAAAGATTTTAATATTTTACACTCTGGTCCTACACATCTTTTTTGTGATAATCGGTCAGCCCTTAATATAGCTACAAATCTGGTGTTTCATGAACGGATAAAACATATAGAGATAGACTGCCATCTTGTTCGTGAACACATTCTCAAAGGTCTCCTGAAGACGTTCCCTGTTCCTTCTTCCAAGCAACTTGCAGATATTCTTACCAAGCCTCTTCTTCCCTCAAAGTTTGGTGCTTTGGTTTCCAAGATGGGAATCTTGAACATCCACTCTCCATCTTGAGGGGGCCTATTAGTATACATTTTATATTTTTCAGTTTCTTAATTTCTGATGTAACCAATTTCTGTTAGTAGTGTGTATTAGTGGTGATAGCACATGTGCTACTTTTACAAATCATTATGTTATGACTGTGGTATATATAACCACTTGTATTTTTCTTTCTTTTTCAAGCTTAATAGAATATTCAATTTTCATTCCTTATCTGTTTCTTTCTCTCAGTAGTAACAAACTAATAGCCTCCTTCCCTCTAAGCTATTCTTTGATCTGCAATTTGAATGCATTCTTTGACTATAGGCATCGAAGGACTTCTATGTTTGCAACTGTATGCAAGTGTACACACAAAATTTTGGGGAGAAAAAAAAAGAGTAAAGTATATTTTGGGTTCTCAACAAAAGGAATTGAGCCCAATTTAATCTCTTAGAAGAAGAAAAAGTCGAGTTCCTCGAAATTTCAAAATAATCTCAGTTAGTCAAAATCGTGGTTATTCTGAAATTCAAAAAAGACACACGTTAGTCTCTCAAAATGACTAACATGGATCTATTTTGCAACAGCTGACTCTTGATTACTATTTTTTAATGTTAAGTTGAAGTTTTGTTTTGTTTTTTTTTTATATTTTTTTAATTTTTTAATACATTTAAAACTTAAAAAATTTCCCCACCCCTAAATATCAACATATAAATAAAAATTTTTGATTCCCGCACGCTCAAACCTCTCTTAAATAAATAAATGTTTTTTTTTTGTGAGCATAAAGAATCTCTGGCTTCCGTGGATCAGCGCCTTCTCTTAAATAAATGCTTTATTACATAAAATAAATACACGATTACTTCTTCGGGTAATGATACGCAAGAGTCAAGACAAATTATATATTAACATGATTTGTTTTTTCTGCAGTTAATGCAGAAAAGTTATCTGCAGTAAGCTCAATACGACGTTATTTTGGGGTAGAAATCATGATATTTTTGTAATTCTAATTTATTTCAAGGTTATTATAGTCTTTATAATTATAATTTTTTAATATTTCAATCTCAAAACGATATCGTTTTGGAAGTAAATGCAGATAACTTATATGCAGTAACTGCAAAAATATTTTTCTGTATTAACATATCAATTTGTATTATAATTATTATTTTTTTTTTATAACAAGTATTATAATTATTTTGCTAAGATTGAAAAGTAATAGTAATATTTAAAGTGAATTATAATTATACAATGAGATGTTGGAAACATACTTATTAAAATCGGACCGACCCGGCCGGGTCGACCCGGGAACCGGTAAACTGGTCCGGTTGAAGCAACGGACCGGCCATGCATCAGAACCAGTGTGACCCGGTCCGACCCGGCCGATTTCATGAAAACCGGTGACCCGGTTGATTAACCGGTGACCCGGCCCGGTCCTAAAAAAAAAATCATAATGGGCATATTTGAATATTTTTTACCTTATTGACTTACATAAGTTATGTACCTGCAACACTAATATTATCTCAATTGTGCATTACGCAGAAAATTTTGATTTGATTTATAGCAAGAGATATCATTTTCTGAATTTAAAACCCCGTATCACAATCATTATTTTTTTATTTGATCCTTTATTGGATAATAATATGTTATTTATTTTTTTATATTAAAATATTTGAAATTTTTATTATTATTTTTAGATATTTGAGTATATTTATGATTTTTTAATATATATTATAAAATTGCATATAATTACTGAGTCATGCGGTTGAACCAGTGACCCACTGACCCAGTACATTGACCGGGTCAATGACCGGGCCGGTTTTAATAACATTGGTTGGAAAGCCCTTGAAATCAATTGTAATTAAAGATTAAAACTTATTTTATATTTACACAAATTTTTAAATGAGTAATAAAAATATTTATAATTTTATTATTTCTGTATTTAGGAAGTCCTTCTTTATAGTAAGTACCATTAGGATGAGCATGCATGGTGGCCGAACAGTAATCATATTTTTTTTTTTTTTTGGAATTAATGTTTCTTATGTTGCTGAGATAATTTTATCACTCACACATATATACAATATAAAAGTATATATGTGGCAGTGTTATTAAACCCGGATTGACCCGGGAACCGGTAAACCGGTCCGGTTGAAGCAACAGGCTGGCCATGCATCAGAATCGGTGCGACCCGGTCCAACCCGGCCGGTTTTCACAAAAACCGATGACCCGGTCGGTTAACCGGTGACCCGACCCGGTTGAAAAAAAAAATTCAAATTTTTTTTTTCAAAAAAAATCATAATGGACATATTTGATTTTTTTTTACTTATTGACTTACATAAGTTATGTACCTACAACACCAATATTATCTCAATTATGTAATATGCAGAAAATTTTGAATTAATTTATAGTTAGAGATGTCATTTTCTGAACCTAAAGTCCCGTATCACGATCACTATATTTTTGTTTGATCTTTTATTGGATAATAATATGTGATTTATTACTTTTTACATTAAAATATTTGAAATTTTTATCATTTTCTTTTTGATATTTGAGTATATTTGTAATTTTTTAATATAAATTATAAAATTACATATAATTACCGGGTCATGCGGTTGAACCTGTGACCCACTGGTTGAACCAGTGACCCAGTAATCCAGTACCTCGACCGGGTCAATGACCGAGCCGATTTTAATAACATTGGTATGTAGGGTCATGTGAACAGAATAAAGAGAAAAAAAAATAAACTCATGATATTTTTTTTTTTTGGCAGTAAAGAAAGAAAAAAAAAAAAAAAACCATATTTTTACCTCGTGCATGTGTAGTCTATTCATGTTTTTGTTCCAGCTGTCCCAATCATTCTCATATATTTATATTAACTACTGATTACAGTAGCCATGCATCGCACTTCTTATGCAACTCTCAGACACAGTTTGGTGTTTGCAACAACAATAATAACAACCATTCCTTCCATTCACTCACATACCACACTTTGTCATGTCTCTTTCATGCCACATAATTCCTATCTGTTGCATTTCTTCAACTTCAGGTCTCTCTCCTTTTCTGTCTCTGAACTGAGGTTGTAATTTGCAAACTGGGTTGTATTCTGTTTTAAAGGTCCATGCAATTTTTTTCTGCTTAGATGGAATCATTTTATTTAATTTTTTTTGAAAAATAAAAACTCTCATTTCAAGAGTTTGGTGAAGCTGCTACATTGAACAAGTATTGGTCAAGCTTTGGAATTTGCAGTGACAAAATTTCCCAATTGTTATTAGTGATGAGCAAATGGGATATTTATTTTATTTGTTGATTCTTTGTTTATGTTCTTCAAAATTCAGGAGCAAATGGTTATATTTGATTGTTTGGGTTAAAAGAAAAAGGAAAAAAAAATAGTTAATTTCATATCCTAAAATCTATTTTTTGAATGATCTCAATGATGAGTTAAGCTTAGCATATAAGGATTTCCCTTACCTCTGTCCTTCCAAGTCAGGGTTTCATGGGAAGTGATTTTAAATCTCCACTTTCCTATGTATATATATTAACAGAAAGTGCATTAAGCATCACATCTTTCAGAACAACCGTGATGGGTTGTGGATGCTATGCCACAAAAATTTTCATGTATAGTTCATCCCAAAACAACAGGGATATGGCAAAACCTGAAGGATTTTGCCTTGTATGATTTCTTTTTGGTTATAACAACTAATAGTAAAAGGGGGCGAGCTTAGCTTAAAGTTGTAAGTAGTAAAGTTGCTCTTTTGTGACTAAAGTATCACAGGTTCCAATACGATAAACAACATCTTTTCGAATATGCAAGGGTGTTGCGTACAAGGATTGTTGCACCCACCCTCGCTAGTAGGGATTTAATGGGAAATGAATTTTGTATTTTTATAAAATCCAACAGAATCTATTTATTGTTAACAAATAGTAAATCCGAAATATGTATTTGACTTGGTGTTGTTCTCCTCTATTTTTATTTCAATGTTGGATTATCTCTTGTTCTACGTGCAAATGAAACAGTGTGTATCTCTTTATAATACTACCTAGAAGGTTTGATATGATTTCCTTTTTAACAGATTTATCAATGATTGCATCAAATGTAAAGAAGAAAAAGGACACCACAGCTTTGGTATGACTGAAGTTTTTTTTATCTTCATATATTTTTCTGTGAGAACTAGTAAGGAAAAAAAATATTGGTTTTATTCCTTGCAGTGCCTTGAAGACACTAAAGAAAAAATCAAGAACATGTTCAACAAGGTTGAACTTTCTATTTCAGCATATGATACAGCTTGGGTGGCAATGATTCATTCTCCAACTTCTCCTCAAGCCCCATTTTTCCCTCAGTGCTTAAATTGGTTGTTGGATAATCAACTCTTTGATGGCTCCTGGGGTCTTCCCGGTCGCCATCCGATATTGATGAATGATGCTCTCTTATCTACCTTAGCATGTATCCTTGCATTAAAGCAATGGAGTACTGGTGAAGATCAAATTAACAAAGGTACCTAAGGAACGGTTTGGTAAAGGAGAAAAAAAAATTTACCAAGAAAATACAATTATTAGGAATATGATGGGAAAGAGAGTTTGGTAGAAAAATTAAAAATAAGTTGTTTGATATGTCGAAATATTACACAATAAATTGAGTTAAATTTTCTGAGTCTATATTTGGTTGAAGATAAATATTGATGGGAGAATGGATTAAAAAGACTAAAATAACCTTTTTGTACTTTTTGAATATGAATAACCTTTGTATAAAGTATGAGTGATGTGTCTTTAACATTGGTTGCAATGTCAAAGAACACTGTTATTTTCTTGATCTTCGTGCCATTTAGCCGGTTAATTACAAATACCACCTTGGAAGTGGTATTTGAGAACAGTGCTTTTTATCCCATTTTATAAACATTTTTCTAAGGCTAGGCAAATAAGTTTGCTAAGAAAATATTTGAATAGTCTGTACCGAACATGGACTACACAAAATACCAAAGTTTTTTGCATGGGTATCTTTTGTGAACTCTCCTACCAAACACTACCTAAATTTCTCCTAGCTATCACATGCTCTGCTGTTTATATGAATGCATTGTCCTGATATTCCTGCAGGTCTTGAATTCATTGAGTCAAACATTACTTCAATCAATGATGAGAAGCAACGCCCTCCCATAGCATTTGATATACTTTTTCCTTCTTTGATTGAATATGCACAAATTTTGGGCATTAACCTTCCAATTGGAGCTGCAAGCTTAGAATCAATGATCCAGAAGAGAGAAATAGAGCTCCAAAGGTAGTATTTTGGTCTTCTCTTATATATATTTCAACATTTTTCCTGTCATTGAAATGTTTCTGATTTTTTAGATCCTTTTAGCAATTTATAGATGCTCAGAATTTGAAGGTAGAAAAATCTTATTTTCCACTTTGCCTGAATTCCATCAACTGACCACTTTAAGTCCATTTGTCTAAACTTAGGGGCAGTCAAAACAACTCAGAAGGGTGGAGAGCATATCTAGCATATGCTTCAGAAGGAATGCTGAAGAAGTCACAGGACTGGAAAACAATCATGAAGTATCAAAGAAAGAATGGATCTTTGTTTAATTCACCTGCTACAACAGCAGCTGCTTTTCAGCACCTTAAGAATAATGACTGTCTTAATTACATCCAATCAGTATTAGAAAAATTTGGTAATGCAGGTATGTTTTCACTTTTTAGACTTATGTGTCTCAGAATTTACTTCTAGTTACAATTATTTTTATCATTAATTGGCCTTTTTTTTTTTTAAAATAAAAAATAAAAATCAGTTCCAACAGTTTATCCTCTGGATATATATGCCCGTCTCTATATGATTGACAGTCTTGAAAGGTTGGGTATTACTCATCATTTCAAAGAGGAAATTCGAGGTGTATTGGATGAAACATACAGGTAATTATCCATTTGAAAGGCATACACCTTTTAAGGTGAAATATTAATATGTCATGCACTGGAGAAGTTGGAAAAAAATTATAAATGTATGTGATGAATACCATTCTATTTAAAATATTAAGCAGCCTTAGATAGCAAGTTTGAAAACATTCAAATATTTGTCTAAGCATAGAAACTTTTCATTTTCATGCATTGAATCTCTACATATTTAATTTGTGAAAAAACAGATATTGGCTGCAAGGAGTGGAAGAAATATTCTTAGATCCCACCACTTGTGCAATGGCATTCCGTATATTGCGTCACAATGGCTATGATGTATCTTCAGGTTGGATCATTGCAACACTTTAATAGTTTAGAGTGTTTTTTTTCTTTTATAAAAACATCAAAGAAGCTAATCTGTATATTGTGTCTTTATAGATCCATTTTATCAATATTCCGAAGATAAATTTGCCGATTCCTTGAAAGGGTACGTGAAGGATGTTGATGCTGTTTTAGAATTATATAAGGCTTCAGAAGTCATTATACATCCAGATGAATCAATTTTGGCAAGAAAAAATACCTGGACAAGACATCTTCTTAAGCAGGAATCTTCCCCTTACCGAGTTTTTTCTGATAAACTTGGTAGTTATGTTGACCATGAGGTAGTTTCTTTTCTCAATCTTTCACAAAATTTAGCTACTTATTTTATACAATCTTATAATCCTTCCTAAAACTGCAATGTTTCTGGACTTTAGGTCAATGACGTTCTTAATTTTCCTTATCATGCGAATTTGGAGCGTTTGTTAAACAAGCGATCAATGGAGCATTACAAGGTAGAAGAAGCAAGGATTTTAAAAACATCATATAGGTGAGATTCTGGTAGTTTGTTTCCTGTCTCAAGCTCCTATCTCTTTTTTTCCTTCTTTTTAGATCAAATTCTTGATTGTTAGTATGGTCCAGATCTTGCAATCTTGCAAACCAAGAAATTCTAAAGCTAGCAGTAGAAGACTTCAATCTATGCCAAACAATACATAGTGAAGAGCTGAAACAACTTGAAAGGTATATCTTTGTTTCTTTCTTTCCTTCTTTCTTCTTCCTTCTTTAATTTTAGAAGATGTATGTCTGACTAGAGATACTTATTTCTCTTCTGGCCTAAGTCATTGAGGAATTTGGATTCTTTTGTTTTTGTTGGGCGACGGCCAAGGGGAGCCCAAATCGGGGAAATCTCTATCTATGCATCAAACAGGCCTTAGCAACAAACCCACAATGAGGGGATCCAACACCATATATGGGTCTTTTCACTTATATGTACTATATTTAGTCCATTTTTTTCCTGATGCTGGACTTTTTTTATCATTCACACTTGAATTCCCAACTTGCTTTTCTAGAAACTTTATTTAAATGTGTCATAAAGATATTATTCTGCTCAAATTTCTACTAGGGGAGATGCATTTCCTCAAGTTTGATCTAACTGTACCCTAACATATGCAGGTGGGTTATTGAGAACAGACTAGACAAACTAAAATTTGCAAGACAGAAAATAGCCTATTGTTTCTTCTCCGTTGCAGCTACACTTTTCTCTCCTGAACTTTCTAATGCTCGCATATCATGGGCAAAAAATGGGGTGCTCTTAACAGTTGTTGATGATTTCTTTGATATTCGGGGTTTTGAAGAAGAGCAAGTGAACCTTATTCAATTAGTGGAGGAGTATATTCCTATTCTTAATTGAACTTGATTTCCGTTTGAATTCTCTCACTATTTTCTTCTACAAAGAGTGATGTTATGGAAATTGAACTGCAGGTGGAATGTAGATATCAACAGTGTTTGTTGTTCTGAGATAGTTAAGATAATATTTTCTGCAATTCACGGAAATATTTGTGAGATTGGAGAGAGATCAGTCAAGCAGCAAGGACGTAACGTGAAAAAAAATGTTATCAAATTTGTGAGATATTTTTTTTTCTTTCTGCTTACATTTTTCTACTAACGTTATTTTGAATATCCTATACAGTCAAATGTAAATGGTGTCTGGTTGGGTGAACAACATGATTAGTGAATTAAGCCCTGATATCTTTTTGCATTCCTCTCCCACAAATAAAAGAAAAATTCTAATGCTAACTAATGTCTCTGAATGTTAATGAAATCTTAGTTTGACACTTTTCTTCTAAATTTACTTCATTGACATGAGATATTTTTCTTAACAAATGGATTGACTTTTTTTACTTTGCAGTGGTTGGATATGATTCAATCTATGTATAGAGAAGCTGAGTGGTCGAGAACCAAAGTTGTCCCAACAATTGATGATTATATGCAAAATGCAAACATATCATTTGGCTTAGGAGTAATAGTCCTTCCAGCACTCTACCTCGTTGGACCTAAGCTTTCAGATGAAGTTGCTGAAAATAATGAATTGGATTGTTTGTTTAAGCTCATGAGCACTTGTGGGCGTCTTCTTAATGATATTCATAGTTTTAAGGTATATAGTCCATTCGTGCTCTTTGATTCCCTGTCTGGTTTTAAGGTGACTAAGGACCCATTTTGATGATCTTTTTTTCTCTTCAAAATCTGATTTTTTTTTCAGGAAAAAAAAAACACTTTTCACTTTTAGTTCGTTTGATTGTCTGCTTTGAAAAAAAAAACAGAAGTCACGACAAAAGTCAAAAACCTACTTTTTTTAGAAGCTAAAAATTTTAGCTTCTAAAAATAGCAAAAGTAAAAGTCAAATATTTTTTTCAAAAATTAAATATTTTTATAAAAATATAAATAATTTTAACTTTTGTAAAAAATATTTTTAAAATAAGAAAGAGATAAAAACTATTTTTTTCTAGAAGCCCAAACAAACCGACTCTAATGCTTTTTGTCTCTGCTATAGAGAGAATGTGAGGAAGGGAAATTGAATGCAGTGACTTTGCGTATTGCTCGTAGCAATGGACTTATTACTGCAGAAGATGCCATTGAAGAGATGAAGGGTATTATTGAGGATAAGAGAATAGAACTCCTGAGATTAATTTTGCAAGAAAAAGGAAGCATAGTTCCAAGAGATATCAAGGAATTGTTTTGGAAAATGACGAAAGTGTTGCACCTATTTTACATGAAGAATGATGGATTTACTTTACTTGAGATGCACTCTAATGTAAATGCTGTAATTAAAGAGCCTGTCATCCTTAGTGAATTGTTGGTAAATGCTCAGCAAAAACCTAATTAGTCCTCTGTCAAAGCCACTTGTGGTGTGAGGCCACAAGCTAGAGATGCAATTGACTTTTGGTTGATCACTGTATGAATCACTGGTCTATTCTCTTTACTTTTTTTTCTCTTTTTTGAATAATATCTTAATAATATTCTCTATTTTAGGAAATAAATCCCATAATTTTAGGGATTGTGTATCTATAATTAATGAGTTAAATTTATTTAGATTGAGAGTAGATTCTCTCATGTTAAAAATTCACATGACCTGGTTATGTGAAATTTTTGTGTCTATCTCTCTCTTTACATGCATTAAATAAGTAGAGTCCAATTATCATTAATAAAGAAAGAAATAAAAATTTTACATGACTCATGTAAAATTTAAGGAAAATATTTAATGTGCACCCGGTCCACAAAAAATTCCGTGGGCCAAGCCAATAAAAACCTTGCAAATTTAAGTGTCATCGGTTGAATGGGAGGCCCACATGCTCCCGGTGCATTAAAAACATCCTCAAATTTAAGTATCTATTCCCATTTAGATTTGACTTTATTTTGTTGTTTCTTTGTTTCCTTTTTTATTGGTGATTATAAATCCTATTTATAATGAATATGGATTAGGTAATTTCTTACAAAATTCTCTTTAACGTGGTATTAGAGCTAAGTTCTTTTTTAGGCTTCAAGGTTAGGGAAGTCGTTGCTTTCTTTCTTCCTCTTCATACTATCTACACAATTTCTCCTCTACCAAACAGATACCACTAACGACAGTTGAATTCGCTACACAAGCCCACGCTTGGATTTGAATTCTCTCATATTTAAAAGTGGTCATGTGGTCATGTTGTTTGATCACAACCACTCATTGATGATTAGACAAAAGAGAGAGAGAGAGAGAAATGTATTAATTTTAAATAAATGGTTGTGATCAAACAACATGATCACATGACCAATTTTAAACATGAGAGGATCCAAATCCCCCACACTTTGCCTCTATGAATCCCATGCGCACAACTTCTATTGGAGCGTGAAGTACACATGTCACCTTCTGGTTATTTATTTTTCACGCCGCTGTTGTCGCCTTGTTCGCTAAAGCATCCTCATCTCCCATTTTGGTCAGATTTGATAGTAGGTCTTGGTTCCCACCTTATTCAAGAACTATTCACTCAGTTTTTCACTTGATTTTCTTGAAATTTTAGTATTGGTGCAATGTTCTTGAGCAGTTATGTCCACAAGTGCAAGTAATTCTTCTAAATGTGAGAATCCCCATTCATATAAAGTCACAAATCCTACTGATAATTCTCTTGTTTCTTATACCTTCTTTAGAAGTCCACAATCACTATCAAGAAGTTGAATGATAAGAATTGTTTAACCTAGTCATCCTCCATTGAACTTAGGTTTCTTGGTCAGGGTCTCTTTGATCATCTTGAAAAGTTAGCTTTCGATATTCCTACAGCAGATAAGAGTCAATGGGAGAGGTTTGATTATCAGTTATGTGCTTTGTTGTTAAAGTTCAAGGAACCTAATATTTTAATTAATTTTAGGACTTTAAGATGTGTTACTTTTTGGAACAAGGCTCGCAGTCTATTTGCTAATGACATTCAATACTCATATGATTCAACCCAGAAATTGGCTTCCCTTCAACAGCCAGATCGTGACATGACTGGTTTTATTGCTCAGGCATAGGCTACAATAGAGGAATTATAGATTTTTATTGTATGTAGTGTTGGTTGTGTGTGCAATGCAATCAGACTTTGCTCATGTGCGAGATTAACTTTTGACCAATCAAGAGGTACCTGCAATAGATTTAATTTTCACTCGCCTACTGAGGGTTCCTACCTCTATAACTATGGACTTCTGTTCCAACACCATTAACACATTAGTCTTACTAAGTAATTCGAGATCTCCTAGTGGACGTGGAGTATGTGGCAGTAAAGGAGCTCGTGGTAGCAATCTTTATTGTGTGTACTGTAAATGATCAAGCCATACTCGGGAGACTTGTTACTCTATTCATTATTATCCCGATAAAACTATAATGTAAGTTTGTCTTACTCTCTACCAGAAGAAGAGATTTGGTTCCATTGAGTAAACCACTCGTTACTCTTTCCTAATTAGATTGAAGGCAATAAAGTTGACTCAGTTCTCTATTACATTGTCGCTCATATAGGTAATCATATTGGGTGTATTTCTAATACGAGTAATAATTCAAATTCAAATTCTTGGATTCTTGATTCAAAAATTTGTTGTCAGATTTAGAAAGTGCACTAGTCAAACAAGTAATAAAATGATGAGTAAAGATCGTTCCCACGAGGATTTGTGTTCAAGCACCGACTAACCATATATACTTAAGTTGAATCAAATGAAAGATATTTGTTTGCATAGATTTCTTGTCACCAGAAATTAAACTGAATTGAATTAAAACTTGATAAACAAATAAAATGTGAATAATACTTTAAACAAGTAGTCATATTTCAATTTCTCTCAAGCATGAATTTATGGATGAACCAATTTCCATAATGAATTACCTACTATGTGATGTTGATCAACCTTTTTCTTATCATCAAGATGTAATGTCTTACTACCCTGATTGATACATTAATAAGAAACCCCAATGTCTTGGTGATTCCTTTCTTAATACATGCATAAATTACTAAGGTCTTAAGATCACATCAGAAATCCTAGCATCAATGTCTTGACTACTAGAACACTGATGATGAAGTTGTCAAATATAGAAACAATGTAAACATATCTGTTCTACACTACTCCTTAACATGAAGAATTAATCAAGACAACTTCATACAAATCACATAATAAATAAACAATACATCTAGTTAACCATTCATAAATTCAAACTTGAGTTCCTTTGAATCAGACTACAAAGAACTCTACTCAGACATAATTGAAATATAAACAAAGGAAGAAGAAAGATCAAACTCCATTGTCATGATAGTTGAGTCTTCAATCTTCAAGTACAATTACACAAAGAAGTACTAACTATTACATAAACTAATCCTAAGGAATTTGGAAATTCAGAGAGAATGAGGAGTCAGATCAGATCTTTGAAAGATCTGATCTGATCTCCCCTCTCCTAGTGTCAGAGATAATAGGATGTATATGATGGGATATGAAGGCCCTTGCCTTTTATTGAGTTACAAAATACAACTGAAAACTGCCATGGGCGCTAAAACGTTCATTAATGGGCGTTTTAGCGTCCATGTTTGACGGATGCCCAACTGCTTTTAACTGATTCCAACGCTAAAACGTTTGACTTGGGCGTTTTAACGTTCAAAACCAGAGTCTTTTTCCAACAGTAGAGCGCTAAAACGTTTGATCAGAAAGTTTTAGCGCCCAAGACCAGCAACTTTTGTCCTCAGATTGCAGCATCGGGCTAAAACGTTCAGTGTTGGACGTTTTAGCGCTCGGGACCAGCAACTTTTGCCTTCAGTTTGCAGCAGCGCGCTAAAACGTTCTGTGTGGACGTTTTAGCGCTCAACACTTGAGCATTCTCCCTTTCTTCAGAATCTTCTTATTTCTCTCTGTTGCTTCTTGAGCTTCATTTTCTTACAAAAACAATGTAAATTTTCAACATAAGCTTCAGAACTTGTATTTGAGAGATTTCCAGTACATTAACCTCTTTTCCATCCATTTAATCACACAAATTGATATTAATTCATGCTTAAAAACCTGATGAACCAAGGGTTTATCACAATTCCCAGATTTAAATATTGCTGTCCTCAGCAATGAATTAAAAACAGAGAAGAAATTGAGATTCTTTACAAATGAAATTAATGAGGATAGACTTCAATTAACAAAAGATCAACATTTCATGATACAAGTTTATAACCATGCAATCTCTTATTCCTTATGACTTGCCCAACATCATATGTGGCTTTTCAACATATCAGTAAAGATGATATACAGAGACTTTCCAAACAACAACACCCCCTCACTAGGATCTTCTCAAAAATTATGAGAATTTTAAGACTCTTGCACACTAGTGTTTAAGGATGCACTTATCACTCACTCTTCAATGCACTCAAACTACCATAAGCTTGCCCATCTTCTCACTCTTCATAGTAACAATGATCCATAAGGCAGATCAAAAAGGTCTTAGTGTGATTAGTAATGAGGCTTGGTATGTGGCTTGATTAGAGGTAAGGATTTATGTTAAAGGGGAGGTTCAGATTAAATGAATCAGATTCAGCTAAGAGGAGGATCACAATTGTATTTATCCATATTCTTCTTAATTCTCCCAACTTTCTTCTTTTTCATTCCTTGTACCTTCTTTGAACTTTTCTTCCTCCTTTTTCTTCCAGACACTTTGTGTCTTTAATTTTTTTTCTTTTTCTCCCTTTTTTTTCTTTCAGACACTTTGTGTCTTTAATCCCCTTTCTTTTTCTTCCTTCTTTTCTATATCTCCAACACTTGTAACACTTTGTGCATTCATTCATTACAGGAAACACTTTTCTCCCAGCAGAACTTTTCATCCATTATCACTTATCTGAACCTTTTAATCTGAAGGATTGGAATGAATGTAGGTTCTTCGTTTTATAGACAAACAGGTTTAAGCTCAAGGGTTTCATGCAATGGAAACATTAGGGTTGGCCATTTAAACTTTCTGGTTCAAGAAGGAAGTGCCTCAATCATTTCTACCCTACACATCATAAACCATTTCAAGCAAGAAACAGGGCGAGTTCTAGAGTTATTCATATAGTGAAGTGCTCTCTGAACAAAATTTTCTGTATAGGCTCAATTTCCTCACAGTTCAGAGTGCATGCTTAACTTTCTCTCTATGCATCGAAACTAATCTATCTACTCTTACACATTGAATGAGTCATGCAATCATTTCATTCAAGCTCAACATGCAAGGTATAAGATTGTATCCTTAATTTGATCAATCATATAAAACTTTGATCAGTCTAATCCTCATGGAATTCCATATCTCAACTGAAATCCAAATTCTGTATTACAGCTAAAATCTAAATCACACAAGAAAACTTAGAAAAGAAAAAGATTGAGATGTTTCCCTGTTTTGACTCATCAATTTGTGTGACATCTCCATGAAGTTTGCATGCCATTCAATCACACCCCAATTCCTAGATTTAAACGTTGTTGTCCCCAGCAACTAATTTAAATTGAAAACAACAATTGATCACTGAACACATTCATATATAAACCAATAGCATCAGTACTATCGTAATATGCATCAGTCAAAACAGTAAATATCTCAATGTACTTAACCAAATTACAAAAATAAACTAACAACAAAATAAAACTAAAAGAAACTAAAATGAAAATAGCAGAAACTAAAGAGGAGTGAAAACAAAAGTCAATGTGGGACATACATTGTGGTTGCTTGGTGGATGGATGCAGAAGAGAGGTAAAAGAATTTGAGAGTGTGTGAAAATGAGAGTAAGGGAGCAGAATATGAGAGTGTGTGAAACATATGAGATAACCATGTAAATCATATAAGTGGACCAGCGTTAAAACGTTGAAATCAAGCGTTTTAGTGCTGGTCTCCAGAGACATGTGCACATTGATGTGCGTCGCATCGCGCTAAAACGGTCACGTCTGAACGTTTTAGCGCTCTGGACCAGAAAGAACAAAACTTCACAAATACATATAAATTGCTGAAAAATAAAAATTCAATCTCAAATATTAATGGTGTCTGTCAATGTTGAAGAAACAAATCCCCGGCAACGGCGCCAAAAACTTGTTGTAAGATTTAGCAAGTGCACTAGTCAAACAAGTAATAAAATGATGAGTAAAGATCGCTCCCGCGAGGATTTGTGTTCAAGCACCGACTAACCATATATACTTAAGTTGAATCAAATGAAAGATATTTGTTTGCATAGATTTCTTGTCACCAGAAATTTAAATTGCATAAAATTAAAAAATTGATAAACAAATAAGATTTGAATATAACTTAACAAGTAGTGAGATGTCAATTTCCCTCAAGCATGAATTTATGGATGAACCAATTTCCATTATGAATTATCTACTATGTGATGTTGATCAACCTTTTTCTTATCATCAAGATGTAATGTCTTACTACCCTGATTGATACATTAATAAGAAACCCCAATGTCTTGGTGATTCCCTTCTTAATACATGCATTAATCACTAAATTCTTAACCACATCAGAATCCTAGCATCAATGACTTGACTACTAGAACACTAATGATGAAGTTGTCAAAAATAGAGAAACAATGTAAACATGTATTTTCTACACTATTTATCAACATGAAGAATTAATCAAGACAACTTCATACAATCACATAATAGATAAACAAAACATCTAATTAACCATTCATAAATTCAAACTTGAGTTCCATTGAATCAGACTACAAAGGACTCTACTCAGACATAATTGAAATACAAACAAAGGAAGAAGAAAGATCAAACTCCATTGTCATGATAGTTGAGTCTTCAATCTTCAAGTACAATTACATAAAGAAGTATTAACTATTACATAAACTAATCCTAAGGAATTTGGAAATTCAGAGAGAATGAGGAGTCAGATCAGATCTTTGAAAGATCTGATCTGATCTCCCCTCTCCTAGTGTCAGAGATAATAGGATGTATATGATGGGATATGAAGGCCCTTGCCTTTTATAGAGTTACAAAATACAACTGAAAACTGCCATGGGCGCTAAAACGTTCATTAATGGGCGTTTTAGCGTCCA